CAGAGAGTGGCATCAGCACGAGCAGCGGGGATGTGTCATCTGCTGCTGGCGAGGCTGATAAAAGGGTGCTCCAGCTGAAGACCCAGCTGGCCACCTTGACCAGCGCTCTGTCGACAGTGACGCAGGAAAAGTCCCGGATGGAAGCCTCCTACCAAGCAGACAAGAGGAAGATGAAGCAGGACCTGGATGACGCCATTAAGAAAGCAGAGGACGAGACCGAGAAGTTGGAGACGGAGCTGAAGTCTGTCCAGGAACAGCTCGCCGAGACCAAAGCCCGCCTGATCACGCAGCAGCACGACCGAGCCCAGGAACAGAGCGACCACGCTGTTATGCTGCGAGAGCTACAGAAGCTGCTGCAGAACGAGAGGACTTTGCGCCAGGATGCAGAGCTGAAGCTGGAGGAGACGAGGGAGGCGTTGGCCGGGAGGGCGTGCATGGCTGAGCGCGCGGAGGGGTACGAGCTGCAGATCAAGCAGCTGAGCCAGGAGGTGGAAGACCTGAAGAGAGAGCTGCGAGCTGTTCAGGAGGAGAACAACAAGCCAGACCCCCGCCTGCAGGATCTGCAGGAGGAGATGGCCAGCCTTAAGAACCACTTCCAAGTGCAGCTGCTGCAGGAGATGAGGAAGGTAATTCCCTGTCTGGGCAGGGTTTGAGGCTGGAGGAGCACAAATTCCCCTTCCCAGTCCCGCAGAGTCTGAGAAGTTTGAAATCAATGAGAACATCGTGGCTTTGATGGGTGGGATGGTAGTCCCTGAGGAAAACACAAGCTGTTTGCGATACAGCGTCTAAGTCATTAATCAGAGGGTGGTGACCGTGGGATTTGGGAGGTGATTACACGGTGACTGTCCTCCACGGTGTCGTTTGGTTCTGAACGTGTTACCGCCTGGTGTGGCAGTGGCTGGCCTTGGGAGGAGAGGCCTTTCCTCTGACCCACGATGGCCGTGAGCGTGGTCTTGTCTCATAAAGCACGTCAGTGCGACGCAAGGTACAGTTACAGGAGCTGGTAAAAGGAAATACCTCCTGCCGGACCTTCTTCAGTGAAGCTGGAGTGCTCTAGGGAGAGAAGCAAGGTAAATACAGGAGAAGGGCTCTAGCCTGTGCGCGTGCAGGGGGAGGGCGAAGAGCTAGAAAGAGGGATGTGGTGGAAAAGAGGAACCTGTGCGACTCTGCGGGTTGTGGGGCAACGTGCTCGGGGGTTGGCATCGGGGCTTTGGCACCAGTAACCGAATTTGCACCTGGAAACTCTCTGAAATGGGATCCTCCTCATCTCCTTGCAGTCTGGAACAAGTTTTCTCCTTTCTAATCTGAAGCATCAGGCTGATTTCATGCAATTTGCCCCTTTTTTGGAAGTAGTCTCTAACAGCTTCTCTCTGACAGAGGCGAAGGTGGCCTGACCCTGGCTGTGCTGTAGTTCCCGAAGGTGATTGCTGCCATTCTCCAGGGTACTTATCAGTCAGTCAGACCTCCGTGGCTGTAACAACTGTGAACACCGGGTGGTTGCTGTAGCTGCTCAGAAACCGGTGAATTATATTAATATCAGTGCGACCAAGCATAGCATTTCAGTAAATTGCAGTTAGATGTATGAAGGCACGCGCACGTTTTAAAAAAATCCTGTAGCAGATTGTGACGCGAGTTTGCTGCTTCCCACCCCCCCGCACACCTACAGCAACGCAGATAATGCTGCTAACAGGAGCTCTGCAGAGCAGGGAACAAAAGCAAAAATGCCTTGAGTTTACTTTGTCCCAAACCAAACAAATATCCAAAAAGGCAATTCCGTGTGGTGGCTTGTTTAGGATTCTAGGGGAAAGGATGGCCCTGCGCTTGTTTGGAGTTCAGCAGAGCAGAATTAAGCCCCCATGTCCACCGCGGACCTCCTGCCCAGTGTTGAGCTAATCTAACCCTGCCGTGTCTCTCTGCTCTCAGACTGCGCAGGCAGAGGAGCAGCTCCGCCAGCACGCCCAGATGGAGGAGCGGCGAGTGGCCGACTTGGAGCACCAAGTCTCCGAAGCGTCAGAACTACTTGGCACCTACGAAAAAGCCAAGCAGAAAGACCAAGTGGTCATTCAGAAGCTAAAGGACCGCATCGTACAGTTGGACCTGGAGAACAAAACCCTGGCCATCGCTGCCTCCAGCCGGTCCCCCGTTGATATTCACGTAGAAGAAGCCAATCTTGATGTTAATGTTCTAAAGGATAAAATGGAGAAGCTGAAGAAGCTCTTGCAGGCAGCAGCTAAGAAGAGTCAGCCCGCTCTGGACATCGAGAAGCTATGTGAGCTGGAGCTGCCAAAGGGCACCGAGGCTGGGGATGGCGAGAAGGCCACTGCTTTGTACTATCAGCAGGAGCTGAAGCAGCTGAAGGAAGAGTTTGAAAGGTACAAGATGAGGGCGCAAGTGGTTCTCAAGAACAAGTCGGCCAAAGACGGCAATCTGGCTAAGGAACTGGAGGAAGCTCAAGAGCAGCTGGCTGACCTGAAAGAGAAATACATTGTGCTTCAGCTGTCCTCGGATGAAATGGAGAAGCAGCACCAGCAAGACATGGAAGCCAAGAAGCAAGAGTTGTCCCAGCTGCAGCAAATTCATAGGCAGGAATTAGAGCGATGCCAGCTGGACTACAGGGAACGGGCGCTGAAGCTGGAGGAGGAGATGCACAAACAGCGGGACCGAGCGCTGGCGGTGCTGGCAGAAAAGGACCAAGAGCTGGAGCAGCTGAGATCTGTCACGTTGCCTTACGGGCTTCAAGGATCCAAAAACTACCTAGCGCCAGGGAGCGACGCTGCTAGCAATGGCTCACCAGGTAACGATTCCTCAGAGATTCTCCCCCAGGCTCTTCATCTCTCCGCCACCAGCGAGCCCACCTTCTTCTTGTACGCAGAGCAGCTGGCTCGCAAAGAAGTGGAAATTGTAGCGCTGAGGAAGCAGAAGCACAAGCTGGAAATGCAAGTTCACCAGCTCCAGGAGAAAATCTTGGTTGAGCAGGAGAAGCACCGGGAAGAGGTATCCGCACTGCAAAGCGAAATCGAGAAGAATTTCAGAGATAAGAGCAGAGAGGGAGCCAACCTGGAATACCTCAAGAACATTGTCTATAGATTTTTGACACTGCCAGACTCCCTTGGCCGCCAGCAGACTCTAACGGCCATATTGACTATTCTGCATTTCAGCCCAGAAGAAAAGCAAACTATTACGAAACAGTCGGCTTACAGCAGCTGGTGGCTTTCTGGGAAGAGATGAGGTGGTAGCTTTTATTCCTGACTGCTTTTGCGTAGCAACGCGTTTCTGATGATTAACTAAGACCACTTCGCTTGTGGCGTAACCTCTTTCCAACCGTGCGATGGAGCAGGGAGCTTTCAGCAAAGAATTGGGCTTAAACTAGTGCTCCTAGCGCTAACTTGAAGCAGAATTGTGCCAACTGTTCCACTAGGATCACAGTGCTCTCTTGCTCTCTGGTGTGAGAAGTTGCTCTGAGTTGGAACTTGATTTAAAAAAAAAAATAATTGAAGGTACTGATGCTTTTTTAAACACAATTTAAAATAATCCCTACCTGTCAGGCGTAGGGCGAGGAGCTCCATTGGAGTGGAGCTTGCGTGTGTCTTCAAACGCCAGACAGGCTTGTGCCTCAAAAGATTTAAAGGCGGGGGGGAAGCGCTTAGCAGGGTGCTAAAATAACATAAGACAAAGAGCTGAAAGCCTGCAAGAAGGATGTGTCTTAACTACCAGCATCATCCAAATGCAGAAAATCTTCAGCAACTTCTCAAAAGTTTGTTGTTTTTTTTTTTTGCCTAGAGCCAAATTTATACCGGTGGATACAGCAGCTCCTCGTAGCACCAGGGGCCGTCCGACGGCACAGCGTGTTACGGCGTGCTCTCGTTACTCGCCAGGGATTCTCTCTGCAGTTATCCCGGGAGGGAGGAGAGATCCTAAGGATTTCACAGTTTGAATCCTTGTAACTGCAGTGGTGCAAGCAGTGATTCCCCGCCGGTGTCACACCAGCAGCTGCTACGCAGCAGGTCTTTCAGAGCAGATATCTGAGCTTTCTGACCCTGTTTGAGATGGGGACCAGGGTGGTGCAGAAAGCCAGCCGGGGAAAGGCTGAATTGGGCACATCCACCCTTCAGCAGTCATTTTCTCAGCATTTGGGAGTTTTGGTGAAGCTTGGGCGTTCCGCAGTGTTGGTTTTGGGAACAAGGCGTTGCTCCTGCTGGGATCGAAGCAGCGAGCAGCAGTGAGGGGCAGAGGATCGCAGCGCCGGGGGCTGCGGGAGCCCTGGGCTCGCAGTAAGCCCTGGGCGAGGGTGAGGAGCTGGCCTGCTGCTGCACAGACCCTGAGGTTCTTGCATAACTTCCCTGCAAACTGGTGAGCGTGGCAGGAAGGAAGCCAAAGCATTTTGAAACACCTCTGGCTTTGGTGGACCGCTGGCACGCCTGCGCTTTGCAGTTGTGCTCCGGATCTGCCGGCTCCTGCTCGGACCCAGAACGACCGAGCTGAAAGCCCTGGCTCGGTGGGAGATGGCTGTGGCAGGCGTTTCATGAACGGTTGCGAGACGAAAACCAGAGCGTGTGTTTTGAATATTAGTGGGCTGTGTGAGAAGGGTCGGGGCCCCAGGGAGCTGCGGCGTGCAGCTGTGAGTGTGCTGGGGGAGCTGCCTGCTCCTGCCCCGGGCCGGGGAGGGCGGCTGGCAGGCTTGGTGCGAGGCCAGCGCTGGCACGAGCAAGCTCCTCTCTCCTCTGCTGTGGTAGGAACCTGACTTTTCCTTTTGTCGTTTGAGCTCTGCGCTCGGGTGCCTGGGGAGCTGACCGGCTGGAGAAGGGGAAGGCGCTGTTTCAGCCTCAAAGCCCGTGTTTTCAGCGGTTGAAGGGCTGGGGCAGCGGCTGGCTTCACCCTGTTGCCTTCCCTTCGCCTTCCATCTCCCCCCCTGCAGGTTGGTGGTTGAGACAAGGGAAGCAGCTGCCTGTCTGGAGGGACGGACTGGGTCCCTGGGGATCTCCCCAGCTGGTCCCCTGGGTGCTGGGGCCACTAGAGGGCACCCACCAGTTGCCCAGTCCCCGGGGACGGGGACCTTAGGGTGCAGCATCCCTCCCGCTGCAGCCGCCCCCGGCACTGCCAGGGCCCGCTCCCCTGGGACGGGACCTGGCTCTGAAAAGTGAGGCACAAGGAAAGCAGCAAGTGGCACGAGAGGGCTCGGCCGCGGTCCTGGCTGGCCCGCGTGGCCGGGGGAAACGCTGCACCTCAGGGGCTTCGGGCTCCGCAGGTGGGAGAGGTTCTGCGGGGTCAGCAGGGCGGATTTCCTTGTCCAAAACGCTGCCTGCTGCAGTGCACTGCTCCTGAGCTCTGGGGCAGGGGGCTGATGCTTTCCGTAACGGAGGTTATGCAAGGTCAGGAGAAAAAACCGAGCGCGCCAGCTATTGTGTGTGCAGCGCTGCCCGTTGGCGTTAAGTTATCCGAAATGGGAAGGAGCGTCTCTGCGAGGCCGGCAGAGCGGGGCTGGCTCTCCTGGAAGAGCGCCCGTCGGGAAGTGTTTGTGCTGCTGTTTCAATGGTCACTACTCTCTTAAAACCAGGGAGGGACGTTTTGCTTCCAGAGATGTTGGGTGGTTGCCTGCAGCCCTGGGAACCGGCTACTCCTGGCTGTGCTTTTGCTGAAGCTTCTAGAGCTTTCTCATCCGCGTAGGCAAAATCGTGCTTGAGTTTTGTTTTCGTGCACCTGCTTTGTTTTTAATTAAAGCTTGGCTACTGAAGCACAACTTCCCAGTCCCAGAGTACAGGGAAGGTGTCTGTAAACACGGGCATTAAGTCTTGTTTTAACAGTCCCCAGGCTTCTCCCGAGTCCTGGAGCCGAGTTAACAAGTGGGTTGATGGGGCAGCTCTTCGGGAGGGAGCTGCTGCGCCGCTGGGCAGTGCCGGTGCCTTCGGCAGCTCACGCCAGCTCGGCCGGGTTGATGAGACGTTGCCGCTCCGGCCAGACCACACCCGCTTGTCAGCACGGGGACAC